CCGTATATTTTACCTTGTCAGAAACTTTGGCTACTTGTAAGGTGTTTTTTCAATGGATGAATTGATTAGTTACAGTGGCAGACATTGAGACTTACTTCCGTACCTGGACAGATCAGCACACATTTAGGAAATACAAAAGGCTGACTTAAATGATGCTGTGTTTGGCGTGAAAAGAATGGTAAGGGCATGAGATCACAGTTCCTCCCTTTTTTAATAGTTCTGAGTTCTAAATCAGTGAGTATTCTGAATGAAAATGAAGTCATATAGCAAAGCTACACATGGTGACGAACAATACTGGCAACAAAGAAATAAAATTTATTCCACATATATTCACTAGTGAATATAAAAAGTGTGAAAACCAACAATTTCTTCACCCTTCCGGTGATGCCAACGGCTCTTGCTTGATTGGGTATGAAGATTGTCCTTTTCTCTTATGTCTATTTTACTGATTTTTTTTTTTTTTTTTTTTTTTTTTTTTTTTTTTGGTAAACCAACATCCCTACCTAGAGTGAATCAGTTATGCTTGGAATGTTTTCTCAACAGAACCAGAAGGTGAGCTATTTTTATGACAGAGATAAAGGAAATGGAGATGACAACCAGAGTTGACTTTTCCAAGCATTGCTCTCAATGTACACACACATCCTCACCCTGTCTGTGCCTTAAGTTATGTTTTTGTGCTAGAGGTATGAGTGAAGAAATAGTTTCATCATTGTTAACTCACAGATCGGGTGATATCTCAGAGACGACTCTGATGGAATTGTATTCCGATACACTAAACTCGTGGAATAAAACCCACTCAGGAATCCTTCTGGTGTTACAATATGATGAGAAGGGGTGAAGCTGGGCCACTTGTCTGTGTGTTAACATTAAGTAGTTACCTGAGCCATCTACATCACGAGCAATCTAAAAAAAAAATGCAGAGGGTTATCCATTACTTAATTGAATGTACAAGATGCATAGATCAGTGTTTGCCTATTATATTAAAACCAGGAATTAAACTTGTATTCAGATACTTCAAACTGGAGAGCCTAAAACTCTTCCCAAATTTCTGTGGGAAACCTAGGGACTGGATAGAATACTATGATACGAGGCTTAAAGCAAATGTCCGTCTCTATGTTTGAAAGGAAACTGTCTGCAACAAATGAGGGCAGGCTTACACAGTAAATATCTGAATTTGGCGGTGGGCTTTGAAGAGTCTGTATGAAAACATGTATTCTTAAAGAACTAGAAGACTTTAGAATACAATGCGTGGCTGGGCACTTGAAGTAGTGTAGTTTGGAGGGGTCATTCTTGTGTTTAGATGGAGCATAGTGATGTGAAGGAAAGCATGTTTTCAAGCGGGAATAAATTAATCTTTATTGTTTATGTTTACAATTACAGCTAGAGTACCTCATTTGGTTGAGATGAAGCAAGCTGTGTGTTATATATACCTAAACATATTCAATAAGTCAGTTCTCTGTTTCCAGAGTATTTGCACAAGAAACATCTTCAAAAAGGAAATAATGTCTGAGAGAATATTACAAGTTAAAGAGGTTTTTGAGGTAAAAGAGTTCTTTGAGTGAAAGGCATAGTGACAGTTTTCCTCTTGCAGTGAATTGTGTGGAATTCATGCTGTATTAGCTGAACCCCAGAGAGAAGATTGGAATTGGCAGAAGTGTTTGTCTGATACACTGTGGAAAAACATGGCTTTTATCCTTTCTGATGATCAAAAGATTTCACCACCTACCTTAAGTTCTCTGGAAGCATTCTATATAAGTTAACAATGCAGTAAGATGAAACCACGATATTTTTCCTTACGTGCATAAAGTAACCGGATAAGAGAGACTTCTTAATGCTTAGTATATTTTCTTTTGATCCAAAGTCCGGGTCTGAAATGGGAAGTTCAATACGCTTCATAATCTCTACTAGTTCGGCTCTGATAATTTCTGCCACCCGCAGTGCAGAACAGCTTAGAAAGTAATCACGACACCATTTCTCATTACTGTAGTCTGTGGAGGAAAAAACAGTGGTTTGGCTTAAGGCAAAGTCTTACTGATAGGTACTATCCACAGATACTGCTCTATAAAATGCTCTTTGACTGGTGCAATAGATTAAAAACATTTTGGAGTGAGTAGCTGTGTCAGAGCTGTCCAAAATTCTGATTACAAGAACCGTATGGACAGCTTAGGCTCCTAGATCTTGCTTGTAAAGTGAGTGGGCCATTCATGATATCCTTACTTAATTTTATGGAATTTTAGCTATACTTTAAAAAAATTCAGAATCCCTTATTTGGTCTGTAAAAAGTAATAGCTTCGAATAGAATGAGTGGCAACTCTATTTTTAGGCTTTCTGGATTCAGGCCAGGATATGGAACTGAAATCACATTTGCAGTGCTGGTGATGATCCTGCATGCTGGTAAAGGACAGGTTCTCTTGGACCTCTCTCCAGCATTCAGTATGACTGAATGTGAAACAATCCTACTGTCCTGTCCTAAGTTTTTATTTAGTATATGCAAATCTGTCACTCCAGTGTCAAAGTACTGGAGTTGGGCTAAATGAACCTGAGCAAGGTGCTTGAGCACAGGAAAATACTGCGAAGAGCTTCTGTCTGCTGTGCAGTCCCCTGGCTTTCATTTGGTTTCCTGTAAATGTGAACTTTACTACTTTCGATTTTTTCCCTTAAACTTTCCTTTTAGTTGACAGCTATCAGTAAAATGCCAGAATTGTTGGGCTGCTGGGGGAATCAAATCCCTTTTCGACTGCGTTTGTGTCGTTTCACATCTTAAACCTGGATTATGCGCTCTTACAGGAGGAACCATCTTTCTGTTTTTGAGCAATATCACTTCAAATGACAATAGTGATAGTGCTGCCATATCCTTGTTCAATGTGGTACCCTGTCCTAGGTCACTTCCAGTTAATAAACTAAAACTAATATTTGTTTGTAATGGCTACGATCAGGTTTCTGTTCTCTCTGCAAAGGAGCAATTCTAGAAAGAATCATTCAAAAAGGGTTTATGAACGAAATGCCAACAACGTTCAGGGTTTTTTTGTTTTGTTTTTTTCCAAATTGGTAACAATGTGCTTCATTTTGTCTGGTATGGGTACACTTACATTGACTTGCAGTGTTTGCACTGGCTTCCTTGAAGGCATTGAAGACATTGATAAGAGTAAAGTGATCTCCTGCAGGGTGTGAGAATTTTCGCCAGCAAGTAAGAGCAATCTCTTCTGTTCCAGGAGGTGCGTGTAAGAAGCAATTAGGAGCTTAGAAAAAAATCAAGCCAGTGGTTATTAAGACATGTAGGTGCATGCACAAATAGTAACTCCACTGATATTTTTCTTTTTTTTTCCCTTTCTCAGTCCCCTTTAATCTTCAGTGTTGAATTGCTGCTGAAGAATGTATTGCATTCACTAAGGTTTTATTTATGTGGATGTTCTTTCAATCTCTTGTTTAGTTAATTTGTGCTGTAAACACAAAATAAGGTGAGAAGCTTTCTCCTAGACTGATGCCAAAAATGTTTCATAATGGCATGATCCAGTTTATCCAGAATCCAAGCATATGGTTTCTTTAATACAGAAAGAAACTAAATGTATGGATGTAATGCCTTAATTTGCTCATATATGCTTAAATTTGTGCCTTGCAGTGCATTTTACTTCTGTTGCCGTGCTGTGCTACATAATTGTGTCTTTTGAGATGGTTGAGCTTTTTAAAAACTAATGTGCCTATGCTCAATTGTTTACATTTGGTTTATGTACTTAAAAATTTTATCACAAGTTTAGGCCCACTATTAAAAAATGAAGCCAGCTTGATCATAAACCGAAGTTGTTCCATAAGGAGAAGAACTAATGCAGCTTGGTGTCCTGTGGGTTCATGTTCTTGCTGCCTAAGACTCCTCACCGATTTCTGGGCCTAGGATATTGCTTCTGGGTGGAGCACAATAATGCCATGCCAAAACACTCTGTACAGGCAAGGTTAAGCTGCGGCTGTTGAGCAGTAGATAGCTCTCAAGCATTGCTTCTGTGCTAGGGTTATGCCATAAAACCAACAGCATAGTGCTATATGGTTAGGAGGCTGCTGTGGAGAGAAATGAGACAGCTAAATGCTGCTGGAGCCAACATCACTGTGTAACACTGAGACCTGAAAGAATCTAAGTCTAGCCCTGTCCTGCACTGTCTGGTAGGATCCTGAGAAGTCATTGTCATTATTTGCTATTTGAACTGCTTCTAGAGTCACCCTCCTCTTAGTTATCCCGAAATCTTCAGGTTTTTGCATCTTTGATGTATTAAGATTTCAATAGCAGCTTTTGCCAAATGAATAGGTTTTAAATATCTGGGGTTTACGTGTTGGTTTGAAAGCTCTGTCACATCAAATGAAGGAAGTTCTATAGTTATCAACCACCTAATGTAAATATTCTTGCTCCAGAGTCCACGTGTCCAGTATTTGGGGCCAGCTGGTTTGTCTCACAGTGCCATGGAGGAGCAGGCACATCAGAACAGAATGGTATGGATACTTCAGGTTAGTTAGTTTTATAAAATATTTAAAGTGGAGAAACAAGATCACAAAGTAATTCTTCGTAGGTCAACAGTTCAATATTGTTTGTAATTAGAACTTCCCCTAATTTGCTGCTTCATTCTGTAACATGTACATGAATATGAAATAAGAAAGTTCATTTTGAAGGGATGTTCTGTGTATGCTTTCTGACAAAAGGTTGGAAGTTAATGGGGCGTCTGAAGCATGGAATTGGAGTGCTACTTATGAATTCATTACTTGTGTTTCATTGCATACTTAAAGTAAAGACTTAAACAGCCAAATATACTCATTTACTTGAAATAAGCAGGATGGGAATAACAGAAGTTTGCCTTTGCGTTGCCCTTGTGAATAGACTGAAAGAGTCTACGTGGATTTGGCAGGTGACACAAACCATGCGGGAAGACGTTATTTATGAGTACCTGTTACCATGGCCGCAACGGTGAGCATTTCATCAACGCACTCAAATTCACATGAAGCCAGAATTGACTTCGACAGTTGTGGATCCAGGGGAAATTCTGACATAATAATTCCAAATTCAGAAAGGTTTCCATCATTATCCAGGGCTGCTAGATAATCGAGATCTTCCAAAGCCTGCATCAGGCTTTCAGGAGCTAATAAAAAGGAAAGATAATTCAAATTCTTGAGAACAGCTACATATAAATGAATGCCTTAATTCTCATTTTAAGATTTCAGTTGTGTATTTCCTATGTGAAAATGATAGAAGTCAGCTTCTATCATTTGACAGCGCATCAGAAGAAAAAGTAATAGATGAGATGAACGGAAGGTTGAGAACATTCTGGAGGAAGAAAATAAGGGATAACAATTACAGGGCTGCAAATAACTTTGTTGGTATTTTTTCTGTCAGAGCAGTTTTTGTCAAAAGTTACGACATGGTGAGTGCTGAGTAATGTATTGCACCAAGACTATGTCAAAAACTTCCACTACTGGCAGTCTTCAGGTAATTGGGTGCATGTTCATTCTTTTTGAAGAGGGGTGGTCACATTTGAGGGGTGTTGAGAGATACACAACAGCTCTAGGAAACAGGATTATAACCAAAAGACAAGCATTTACAGAAGTTGTAGCTGTTTTATTCTTGCAGGTATTTGGAGTTCTCTTCGTTGCTTTGGTTTTTTTTTTTTTAATTATTATTATGTTTTTACATAGTTTCTCATGATGTCAGAAGAAAAATGTAACATACTAAAAGAAAATGTCTCCCCAGCAATTGGCTGTACTTTCTCACTGCACTAAATTAAATCAATGAAGAGAATGAAGACTGAAGTGGTAAGTTTTGTGTCTTAGATAAACACAAGTGAAACCCTGCCGGGAGCGTTCGGTAGGGAGGTTTGCTTCTGCATGTGTTGAACACCAAGCTTTCAGGCTAAAGTGGCCCACAGGTGCTTTTTCTGAAGACTGCTGGAGTATCAACAATTAATTCAGTTAATTGTTCAATTAATTCAGTTTTGGTCAATAGCATATTAAGCTTAGTCTACGAGGAGTACCTCCACAAATCATAGGTGTATCCTCCTCTTTCATGGATGAGAGGGAATTGAAATCAATCAGCGATACAAGATTCGAAGATACAGAAAATGGCTTATACACACAGACACAAATACGTCTTTTTCATCAGTTATCATTACATCTCAGTTATTTCTCAGTAGCCCAAAAGGTGGCATTTGCAGTAGCTCTTCTGAACCTCTCAGCTGGATGGGAGTAAATAACGAAGAAGTTTGACCAAGACTCTCCTTTCTCATTAAGTATCTTGCTGAATTTCTCCTTTACCTTTTTTTCACTATTTTTCTCTTGCTTTTCTGCATCTGAGGCAGTGGAAGACAGAATCAGCTTATGCATAACCTAGCCCTTTTACTATTATTGGCTGGTTTTTCTTTTGATGGATGGTGTCAGAAGAATATGAAATGTTATTCTGACATTTTTTTCAGATTTTGAAAAAATTAGTCAAGTGTTTTCTCAGTGACACGTTGTTCTGCTAAAAGAATGGTGTAATGAATTCAGACCCTCGCAGTTGCAGTGATAAGAAAACACGTCTGAAAGGACAGGATTAAGCAAATAAGTACTTCAAATGAGAACTTGAGCAGGTCTGTAGGAAATCTGCTGTTGATGAAGGTAGGTCCCTTTGGCAAAACAAGCATAGAAGAGCTTTATGTACAACCATGGAGTCTACAGTTCTGGGGCTCGAGAGGGTGAACCTGAAGGCTGAGTAGAAATTATCAAGCCTACACTCTCCAGAAAGTAGTTGCTAGAGCGTGAAAGACATTGGTGGAAATTTGGGAACTCTTGAGGTGTGAAGGCTCTTTCCTCCCAGCTCTTTTCAAGGTAGATTTCTATTCCAGGTCTTATTGTGATGGTCAATATCTTTTATGAGTGCCAGGTCATTTAAATTCATAACTGCTTTCCTATCACTGCAGCAACTTTCTCCTTATTCCAGTTGAAGGAACTGTTTGATATTTTATCTCTGTTTTATGGATAACAAGTTAAATTCTAGTCCCATTGAAGCTGGTGGCAAAAATTCCGCTACAGCAGGACTTGGCCTCATCCCCAGCCAAGCGTACCCAGCACTGGGAAACTAATGACTGCACTGGCAATTTTTCAGGCTTCTGTGGGCTGCTGTCAGTTTGCATATTAATGTCGAAAAAATCTCTAAATAAAAAAACCAAAACACAACCACAGCTACCCACACAGGCAGGGTGTGTATTTGTTCTTGTAATCTTCATTAGTAGATGACTAGAAATAATTTCTTGATTGAATTCATTATGAATGGGAACTTGTCTTTGGCAGGCTACTTCTGCATCACGAAGATTAAAAGCAAAGCCAGCCTGTAAGGAGCTGGTGGGTCACCTTTAGCCATACCGCCGCACTGCAGGCACCCTGCCTTTCTGCAAGAAAATCTTGAGTTTGGGTTTTTACTTCGTTGGCAGTGAACTGTTAGTTTATTGCCACCACTCTGTAATTAACTAGTTATAATGAAGTAAACAAAAAAGTAAAATGGGAAGCAAGCAAGCACCTGTTGTTTTTAACCGTTTTCTGTTACTAATATCTGAAGGGAAAAATAGTTTATTAATTCCCCTTACATGAGCTTTTGCAGAACTTCTCCAGCATGTAAATCTGTTAGTGTTGTGTCTTCACTTAATTTTAAAACACTATTAGTTTTCAGAGACATTCTCTCAGGAATCTGTAAACTCCTGTTAAAACTGTAGACCTGTTTCATTTCAGTATTAGGGTTCATATCTCTGCCTGTACAACATGAGGGCTTTCTGTCTAGAGAGAACATTTGTTATCAGATATACGAGATTTCATGGGATAAAAGATGAGCCCTTGCAAAAGCTAAAGTGTCTGAGAAGAAAATACTTAGGAAGTTTAAAGAAATGAAAAGTAACAGCTTATGAAGAATAAGAGTCAGTGACAGGAAATAGAGATCAGTGACTGAAAATACAGGGAGAGTAAAATAGTCATTCAGACATATAGTAATTACTAGGAGATCATGAAAGCTGATTTCCAGAAATCAGCAAAGTAGTTTGTGCTAGAACTTACAAAATATATGGTTATATGGCAGCCAATTTCAATCCTCTGATAGCATCAGTAATTTGCATTTTTATGCCCTAGAGTTAGTTGCCTTGAGATTTATAAGCACAATTTACTTTCCTATTTTGCTATGAGTGTTACCAAAAAAAAAAAAAAAAAGAAAATAAAAAAAAGAGAAAGAAGACTCCTGGAGTTTTATTGTGCTAGAAGGGACAAGATGACAAGATAGTAAAGGTAGATGAGAGCAGGTGAAGGAACAGTAAAAAAAAAAACAAAACAACAGGGCTTTCAGATATGGGTCTGCATTTTGAGGCACAAACTCGATCAATAAAAAGCCATTGTAAGAAGAGCAAATGCTCATTTGAGAGTTCTTTATGATATGGTTCCTATTTAAATAAAAACTGTGATAAAACAAAAGTAGTGTAAATGTTTAGATATGGAAAGCTCTTCTTTAAAGAACAGAAACCTGCCTTGTCTTATAATGATTTCTAGCAAGCGTCATTATTTTCAGGGCTGCTTGCCAACGCCAACTACTGCTGCCATCGAGGCAAACCGCAAGGCTTTGTGACTTGACTGCTGCTTTCACAGGAGCAAAGTTAAAAAGAAGCTCTCAAGATGTGTCCTGTGCTTTCAGCGAGAACCTGTCACATCCCTGGAAGTTTAACAGGTATTTCCTTATCTGATATTTTCTTTCCCTTGCCTGTGTTCTCTGGGTACTTAAGACTGGGTTGCTCTGGACTGACCAGTTTTATATAAATCCAGATCCTACTCTTGATCATACTTAGGCTTAGTAAAGCAAATATCATAAAATATGTAACTAAATGTTATTGTTAGCAGTGAAATTGTTTATTTGAGAGTTTCAGGCTGACTTAAAATGATATTCTTCATTTCACAGTTTTTTTGTAACTTTGACGTGAACAGAGTAAGTTATGTTTCTAAAGGTAGCTGTGCCTTTAATCTTTTCAGTAGCACATCCTCCATGGCTGAAATTGAAGTGCATAAGGTGTGATAAAATAAATACAAAAGTATTATTCTTGTTGCATAAGGAAGTAAGTGACTTACTGATTTGCCCAAAGTTCTGTCATAAGTGAATATTAGAGATAGGAATGAAGCATAAATTTCCTGGGTTTTAATAGTCCATTTAACTACTATATTGTGCTTATCTGGAGGATCTACAGGTCCTGCGTTCTGGTCTCCTAGTCTATGAAAGTGTTGAGTATGTAAAATACCTTTTTCTTGATAGATCTTCTCTTTTCACAGAAATAACTTATAAAGTTAGAGCTGACAGGAATGCCAGGTGAAGGGATGTTGTCTTTAAAAAGCTGATTCACTGCCTGGCAAACCACAAGTTTTTCCAGCTTCTGTTAGGCTTAACAGCATGAAGAACTGCCAAACTAATTACTGCAGGGAGAATAGTTCTGGGGAATGGTGTTTTCTGTTATTGTTTTTTAACATTGCTCCTTGGATAGCAGACTGAAGATATGGAGAAATCTAGTGCCAAGTTTTCTTCAAATAATGGAAAGATTTTTCTTCTGCAAGGACAAGTTTCTGTGTGCAGAATCTTGATTCTCTTTTTTCCCCTATAATTTCTGAGAGTACGATTTTTTTGAGTCTGTCATGCTCTGAAGCCACCAATTCTAGAACTATTATTTTGAAATTATAGTTGATCATTAAAAATTACTTTTCTAAACTCATACTTTGCAGTCTTTCCGTTCTCCCTTACACTGCTTCTTTACTCCTCCAGGCTGGCTGGTAATGGTCCCTACTGTGATTTTCTGCCCGCAGGGACAGCCAGGACAGAGGCAATACATAATAACATAAATACAGCAAGTAGTATCTGCACACCAGGGGCAGCACTGACTGTGTAGTGAAGTTGGTTTTCTATCAGTTTTGTGTCATCCTGAAAGCACACACACGACTGTGCAACAGAGTATAATTTAAAGAATATTTTACAATGGCATAAAAAATATTTTTAATCACTTTGGTTTCTTTTGTTACTCTCTAGTAAATGACATGAGAGTGGTCCAGCTTTAACAGTACTGGGCTGCCCCTTCTCATTTTTGGGATGCCCTTT